CAGATTATTGCACAACCCCCCCATGCAGGTGTTTGTTGCCCCCCTTCTCGCCAGCCACAAGAAAGGGCTGTTGCTCACGAGCCCCCTTCCTGCCCGCTGGGCGCCTGAGGGGCAGGAAGGGGACCGGAGGCAGGTGGCAGGGACAGGCCACCGCAGCCGCAGTGCGGGGGGCTCCCAGCGGGGCTGACAGGCAGAGGGGTTACAGTCGGTACTGCAGCATGGGTGACAGGGCTGTGGGAGCCATGTCTTGTCTGCACAGGGCAGGAAGAGAGCCAGCAGTGGCTGTGGGGCTCCCAGGCCATGCTGGAGACCCCCCTGTCCCAGTGCTGCTCTAGGATATGTATGCACAGTGTCCTGCCTCTGCTTCTAACTGGTTGTCGCCTGAGGACTTCAAGCAGTCACAGCAAGTGGGAAGAGGTTTACAGTGTCACGAGCAGCCTGGAGATGCCACACAGGAATACTCACCTTTTTTTTTCCAATGGAAGAATGAGGGGCATCCCATGCAAGGAGTGGTGAGCAGGGGGAGAGAAAAGGGAGGTGATGCCTCATTTGGTGCACGGGCAATCCTGGACACTCCTTGCCACAGGGTGCTGCGGATGCTAAAATCTTACCTGAGTTCAGAGAAACCAGAGAAATTCACAGATTAAAAAAATCATTAAACGCTACTCAGTGCAATGTCTGTCCTGCAAAGGGACACCCGGGCTGACCACAGCAGAGTGGGGAGGGTGTGCTGGGGGCTGTGCACAACCTGGGCACCTGCCCAGGCCACGTACCTCCCCGCTGGGAGGAAGGCCTCGCCTTGGCATCGCAGCAACCTGCAGCTCCAAAGCAGCAAACCTGTGCACTGGTCTCCCCGGTGCAGATCCCCCATCCCTGTGTGCCCTCTGGCTGCTCTTGCTCCGGCGATCAGGAAAGCCAAGCGTGTCCCCCCACAGACTGCCCAGGCACATCACCCCCAGGATACCATGCATCCCACCTGCCTCTAAGCCCCTTCCCTCCCAGGGAGCACCAGAGCAAGCAGGGGCAAATGGAAATGGCTGCTAATTCCTCCCAGCATGGCCGTAGCCCTCCAGGGACCGGCCCCGCAGCAGTGGAGGGAGCCGACTCCTGCTTGCAAACCAGCTGCACCAGCCTGGCCCCGGGAACACAGGCCGCTGTATTTTCATTGCAAATTAGAAATCAATCATAGCAGGAAATTCCTGTGCTGCGAACACCGTGGCTATTATTATTTTACAGCACTCAGAGGTGTTCTGGGCACTTAGAAAGATGTGGCCCTTTCAGGGTATTATGGGGCAAATTAGTTTTAAAGGCGGCTGTAAGAATGTTGGCCATTCGGTTTCCGGAGCGGGATGGGCACAGGTGGAGGCTGCGGGGCTTTGTGCTGCTTTCAGACACACCACCGCTCTGCAAGGAGGGAATCGGCACGCTCCGGCGTGAACACCTCTGTCCTGACCCCAGCTTTATTAATAACAAGTAATTAATATGAAAGCGGACATGCCTTGTGTCTCTGAAGACCTTTTAAGATGTGATTATGTTGTGCTAATCTCACCCCAAAGTACTTCCCTGTTTAGACTGTGCTGGGCCATTAAATACTGAAAAACCAACAGAGACCCCCCCCCTCGCCGCCCTGGGAAGTGCTCGGGGTCTGTTCCCCAGCAGCCAGGCCCCACTTTCAAACCCTTTAAATCAAATATTAAGTCGAACCCATCTGGACTGCCAGGAAAAACACTCCCTCCCCCTCATCTGCGTCTCATTACCCGCCATGCCAGCTCCGGCCCCGCAGCCGCTCACTCCATCCCGCCCAGATGTGCTGCCCTGCGCTCGCCTCCCGTATTTCACAGCCGTCAGCAGGACTTCAAGGAGCAGCCGAAGGGCCTGTAACACTGCACAGGCTCTTAGAAAAGCCATATATCCACATCCCTAATGCACAGCTGCAGGCACATACCCTAACGCAAAGCCCCTTTCCCCCTCCCTCAGCCTTGCACCAGGCAGGGGAGCTGGGGAGCTCGGGGGTCTCCAGGCAGGAGGATTCTGAGCTGCTTCCCTGCAGCTCTTTACCCAGCACATGTCCAGAGTTTCAGGGGTTCTCCCTCCCGAGACCCCCCAAAGCCAGGCAGCCCCTACATCCTGCACCTGGGGCAGGGCACCCAAAGGCAGGGCAGGAGGGAACAGGCGCTGGCAGCGAAGGTGAGGAGTTGCAGACAGACACCTGCAACCCTGTAGTAACCAGGGTGATTACATTTGGGAGCAGCCTGCAAGGCAGAGGGTAAAGTCAGCACTGAGCCTAGAGAAAATAAGGTACCCAAAGACCCAAACCAATTGGGCTCAAAAAGCTCCTTGGGCTAAAACTTTCTAGTGAAAGTTTCAGCACTTCCAGAAAACCCTCAGAAACAGAGAAACAGCCACTTTGTTTCGGTTGGGCACTTTCCTGGCCCTAGTGGCAGGCCCGGGCCGCCGAGGGGAAGGCGCG